GCCCTTGGAAAGATCCAGAAAGGCATGTAACTCCTGAGCGATGAAGAAGAGCCCTGAAGAAAGCAGAGGAGTTACCCTGAAACAAAGACCAGGGGACATTAGGAGAGGGGACCAGAACAGGGACCCTATGTACACTTTGAACTTAAAGCTGAATCCCCACAGGAGCCTCAGGTTCAGGTCTGACCAATGAATCATAGAATTATAGAATCAACAGTGGTTGGAAAAGACCTTTAAGATCATTCAACCATTAACCTATCACTATCAGCCTCATCTCTAAACCATGTCCCAAAGCACCTCATCTACCCATCTTTTAAATACCTCCAGGGATGGGGACTCCACCACTTCCCTGGGCAGCATGTTCCAGTGTTTGACCACCCTTTCTGTGAAGAAATTTTTCCTAATATCCAACCTAAACCTCCCCTGGTGCAACTTGTAGCCATTTCTTCTCATTCTGTCACTGGTTGCCTGGTAGAAGAGACCAACACCCACCTCTCTACAACCTCCCTTCAGGTAGTTCTAGAGAGCAATAAGCCCTCCCCTCAGCCCTCTTTTCTCCAGACCAAACAACCCCAGGATTGTTATTGGAACCTATATGTTCCTTCTTGATTTTGTTTCGTTGTACATCTATCTAGTTAAGCTTTTCTCCTAGATGGACTAAGTTATTTGATGGCTCACATACTAACTACTCCAATTTATAACTTTATCAGCATTTTTTGGAAAAAAAACTAAATCCAAGATTGCAATCAACCACAAAACATAAACCCTCAAAAAATAAGGCAGAACACATTATTTTCAGGGCTTTTCAACCTACTTCTTATACCGGCAAAACTAAAACTTAAGACAAATGAGACAGAATTCAAGGCTTGAGGGACTTGGTCTCTACTCCATCCCACACCACAAGAACCCACAACAGAAAGTTTCAGTTGGGCAGATTCACCAAGAGCAGCAGCTCAGCACAGGTGCCTCTACAAACAGACTAACTCGGTGAAAAGCGCAGTCTGAGTGGTGCAAACCAACAGCCTGATGGTTGTCAGATCCCACATCAAGGCTCAGAAAAAGCTTTCTTGCAACCTGAAGGCAATAAGAGAGATACACCATGGTGTATAAAAAGGATATAAAGCTACTGGAGAGTGTCCAGAGGAGGCCACAAAATTGGTGAAGGGTTTAGAGGGGAAGGGTATGAGGAGAGGAGGAAGTCGCTTGGATTATTCAGCCTGGAGAAGAGGAAACTGAGAGGAGATCTCATCATGGTCTATAACTTCCTCACGAGGGGAAGAGGAGGGGCAGGCGCTGATCTCCTCTCTGGTGACCAATGACAGGACCAGGGGAAATGTCAGGAAGATGTGCTGGGGGAGGGTGAGGTTGGCCATGAGGAAAAGGTTCTTGAGGCAGAGGGTGGTGGAGCACTGGAACAGGCTCCCCAGGGAGGTGGTCATGGCACCAAGCCTGACAATGTTCCAGAAGCATCTGGCCACCATGTGCCCTCAGACACTTGGTCTGAATCTTGGGATTGTCCTATGCAGGGACAGAAGTTGGACTCAATGATCCTTCTGGGTCCCTTCCAACACAACATTCTATGATTCTATGATAAATGGTGTCTTAAGAAATTGTTTTTAAATTATTACTTTTCAGAACTTAAGTGTATTTACTCAATCCAGCAGCTTTCAGTAAGAAATCACACAAAAATCCTCCACACAACCCCAGGTGTGCACAGCGCAGGCAGACATCACAACTCTTCTTTTCCTCCTGGGCAGACTGCCTGCTCCAGGCCCTGTAGAGACTGATGTGTTTCCAGTGTCCATGGCTCACTGAAAGTCTCATCTGAGATTCCTGGGAGCAACACAAGAGCTTGAATCCCACCTTAGATGTTTCTCAATTAATTGCACACATGTATGACATCAGTGCTCATGCCACCATAACGTAAATCCATATTGTGAATGAAGGTCTGGTGACACAACATTTAAAATGGAAATACAAAGCTGTTACTGATTTTTCAGGGTATTGTTCGGATCACAAATCTAGCTTCATTCTAACATTCCTTCTGGAATTACTTTGAGTGAATGAAGCAGAAAGTAGCCTCATTAATTTTGCATATTGCACCTTTTCTGTGTTTCCTAAATTAAACTGAAAAAAAAAAATAATCAAGATTACAGTGAGAAAAAACATACTAGACAATGTATATCAGACAACCAGTTGCATGTTTAATAGACTAATTTTCCACTCAGAACTAGGTGACAAAAAGAATCCAAACCAAAACCAAAACACCCAACAGCAAATAAAGTCTAGAATCAAAAGCCTTTCACATTGTCACTTTAAATTTGTCAGAGAAACTGTTACAGACACGGCTGGGAACACTGTAGTGCTCTTATTTATCTTACAAGTTTATGTACTTTCCTAGAAAAACTGAAACCTCAACAGTAGGCAACATTAATATCAGAAAGAAGCTATAGATTTTGGTGAAATTCCAACAGCATTCTGTAAGCTACTGACTCTCATTTGTGTGTATTCTAGAAGAGATTACAGACTTTAAACTCACAACACTGCAACGGCTACTGTATGTACAAGATGATCAAAAATTGATGCCTCTCTAATGCCCCAAAACTTCAGAAGATAGGCTTTTTCTGTCTTCCAGATGGGAACAAAAACTTTGCATTAAAAAACCAAAACAAACTCATAGTATAGTACCAAATGGTTAAGTGAGCACACAAACACAACCAACTTCTTAAAGCTGAGCAAAATCTTTACCAATATCCCAAGACAGACTCATCCCAAAGAAGCTCCTCTTCTCTTTTGATAGGTATCTGTGGCTTCTTTTTATCCTTTTTGCTCTCTTTCTCAGCTGGGTTTTCTTTAAGTCTTTTGTCTTTAAAAGGTCTTGATTTCTTCTCATTTACCAAGTCTATCTCAACTTTAATTCTCTTTTTCTTCTCACTTTCTTTTCCAAAATCTGCACCTTCACTGCTTTTCTTTCTTTTCTGCTTTGTAGCTTCTTTCTCATACTTCAGCTCTTCAATGATGTATTTTTCCTCCTCAATTTTTTTAATCTGAAATTTCTGTTCTTTTCCATAGGAGCTGGTAGAAGTTCCAACAAGTTCGTAAGAGTCTTCAGATTCTGCAACCAATGGGCTGAAGCTCTGATCTCTAACAGTGGCCACCTCAGACCCCTGCTTTTCTTCCTCTTCTTTATAGTATCCCTTGTGATAGTGATAATTAGGTGTCTTTTCTAGTGCATGCTCAGAAGCTGATGGCCAGCTTGGCAAACTATTTTCCCCAGAATTTGTAGGTGACTGGGTCTCTGAGAAAATGCTGAAGTGCTGGCCTTGTCCACACTTAAAGTTTGAAGATGTAACCTCACCAAGATCACTTCCTCCTTCAATGTTTTCATCTTGAAACTCTTTCTCTTCTGCTTTTCCTAAATACCTTCTTGGTTCTAGATCTCCAGCTTCCAGAACTTCAATGTCATCTGTGAATTCATCTTGACAGGAGTTGTATGTTTTCTTTGATTTCTTTGTGAGATTGAGAAGCTCTCTTTCTCTGCATAAATTGGATAGAAAGTCTTAGTTATTAATACTGACCAATTTGTTTAGCATCTGTTGAGTTAAAAAAAAGTCATATCTCCAAGTCATATTTCCAGAACTAGAAAAAGAACATATTTCAAGTGTGTTGTTCTGTATAACTACGATATGGACTCTGCTAGACATGATTATATCTGTAAAGCTGAAGTTACATGGAACAGATTCTAGTCTTTCTAAAAACTGGAAATCTGGAATGACTTCATGAAGACCAAATGACTTTCTTGTGACCTAGGATACTGCAAGAATAAGATTCTATTAAAATGACTGCATACGTTTTTAAAACTACTTTTTAAAAAGAAAATTTAAGGTTCTCTCTCATTAACTAAACTCCAATTAGCTGCAGATAAGAAGCAATTTATATACTGACTATCAAGTAATAAAGTTACTGATTTTTTTTAATTTTTTTTTTAAATGAGATTCATTCTGTTGAACAGTTACAGTATAGTTATTTCAGGCAAACTGTGTGACTCCACAGCAGAAACAAAACCAACCTGGATTGCCAAAAACCCCAAACAAGATAAATGTGCTTCCAAAGCAAAACTACCTATCAGTTTATATTCTACTTTCCCTTTCCTCAGGCTTGAAGATAGAGTGGTTAGATTACAATATCCCCTGTGGGAAGGGCAGCTCTGAAGACCCATCCCTTAAATGTATCTTGTTCTGCCCTAATTCACCAGCTTTACATATTCATTTTGTTAAACTATAGATATAGTTTAAACTATAGTTCCCTACCCTCCTGCTTTTGTGGACTCTAATTCTGTTGACTAAACAACCATTTAAAAATCATATCAGTTCTATATCAGCCTCTTATGGTTATATAATTACTGTGCCTTCACTTAAAATATGTCTTATCAAAATGTCTAACACGTAAGCAATTTTGATATTTAACTTACTTGCACAGCAACCTCTAAAAAGTACATCTTAAACCACAATACCCATTCTGCAACTAACAAAGTCTACAAGCCCTCTTCTGGGTAAAAGGGAAAGTACAAGAGCTGTCATCTGCCCCGTAAATGATCTTATGTCAAATGTAGAATGCATGCTGATGAATCCTGAAAGCAACACAATTGATGAAGACTTGGCGTTTTTGGGGATTAAGGTCCTTGCCCTGCCAGTAGGGATCTTTAAATTCAGACCATTTCCTTCTAGATGGTGCTCTGAGGATGCTGAGCAGCACAAAACAGGTGCTGCTCTCCTCACACAGCAAAGTAAGTGGAAAAACTGTACAGGTTTCAGGATCTTTCCCATGTGGCTTGTCATTGAAGATGCAACTGTGGGAACTCAGACTGAATTTCAGTCACAACTATGATGTTTAAATGGACAGTGCCCTTTCGAACCAATAAACCAAACAACAAAAAAAAAAAACCCAAACCAAACCAAAAACCCCAAAGCTAGTCAAAGACACTTAACTGCAGACAACAGGGCTAATTAAAAAGTTTGGAAATACAAACTAGAGAGGAATAACAACAAAAGACTTATTGACTTACTTAATCCGGTGCCTATTCCCTTGCACGTGGGACAGGTACGTTTCTATAGATGTAATCGTGACGTTACATAGAGAGCACAAGTAATAACCAACCCCAACAGCTGAAAAGAAGGAGCCTGTAGGTTAGTGAGACTAAAAATGAAAGGCAAAACTCAAAGCACATCATGATCCCATCCCATGCAAGAGTCCTAACATAATGTTCCCATGAACAATGTTTATAGACAGATATAAGGTCTCCACTGCAATTTTACACTAGAAGAATACTTATGAAGGGAGCTGGTGAGGTGCAGTGTAACCATGGTTTAAACATTAACAAAGAGTATTTCTGATGACTGAAGGAATCCAAGATAATTCCAGTAAACTCTTGTCACCTGCTGATGAGAATGAACTGTACTGGAAAATTAAATACTTTTGTAGATACTTGGAGCACCTCTCCTATGAAGACAGGCTGAGAGAGTTGGGGCTGTTCAGCCTGAAAAAGAGAAGGCTCCGGGGCGATCTTATAGCGGCCTCCCAGTACCTGAAGGGGCTACAAGAAAGCTGGGGAGGGACTTTTCATAAGGGCAGTTAATGACAGAACAAGGGGAAATGGTTTTAAACTGAAAGAGGGGAGGTTTAGATTAGATATTAGGAAGAAGTTCTTTGCTGTGAGGGTGGTCAGACACTGGAACAGGTTGCCCAAGGAAGTTGTAGATGCCCCCTCCCTGGAAGAGTTTAAGGCCAGGCTGGATGAGGTTTTGAGCAACCTGGTCTAGTGGAAGGTGTCCCTGCTGATGGCAGGGGGGTTGGAACTGGATGAGCTTGAAGGTCCCTTCCAATCCTAACCATTCTATGATTCTATGACCCAAAGCAAGCACCAACATATACCAATCCAGTCAGTCCAGATTTAATTAAAAGATCAGACTAAACATTATCTACTCAAATGTTCATGCAGCGTTGGTTCAACCCTGCAACGATGCTGAGGGAATTGTTAATACAGTGCACTATGAATACGGTACACACAGCCCCAGGCAAATATAAGGCAAGGTCAGATGAGGAAAAATCCTTGTGTTTTCTAGGCTGTCATTTCCTCCTCTCCTAACAAGCTGTGTCATCCATACACCTAAGTATTCTGAAACCAGTGAGTAACCTTTTTCCCCATGCAAACCCAAGAGCTTCATCCATTAGCAGGATTAATTCCAATGGGCTATTGCTTCACATCAAAATGTATTGTTTTGTTTACATGACTTAGTGAGAGCTATTTTACACTAACAATGACTTTTGATTATCAGGCAGGATTTTTAATCCCTTACTAAAGAAAGGAGTGACAGTTCTGTTGCACAGGACTAGATGATGTCCCCTCAATATTAACGTAAGTTGCACAGCAACAGGGCCTTGGCTTTATACACAGTGCTTGAGCTGGAGACAATCCTGATGGGAGGGTAGGGAACAAGGACTATTTAGGAAACAAATTTCCTTATGTGGGAAGATAGAAATAGTTATAACAACCCATTGCATGAATAAAAGATTAAGGGAAGACATGACACCAGTTTTCAATTATTGAAAGAATGCGACAAAAAGGAAACAAATGATTCAATTCTTGTGTCTGCTTCTTGTTCTGTGCACAGGGAAGAAATACACTGTGGTCAGAGAGTACTGAGTTCAGTGTCACTAGAAGGTTTTAAGATAGAGAAGGTAAAGATCAGGAAGTCCTGGGAGATGTTCCTTATGGAGGTTGTAGAGTTTGCAGCACAGATGGTTTTTAAGAACAAGGTGGATGAAGATGTTAAGAATGACACAGATACAACTGATCCCTGGCCTTGGACTTAGGGGACTGGTCTATTTCCTATGATCCTTTGAATTTGACTGCAGAGTTTTGTGAGGACTGGGTTTGGGTCTCCAAGTCAATAAGAAATATTTTCCAACCTAAAGCTGGAAGACACAGAACTTTAGCAGCTCACAGACCAAACAGAAAGGAAGAAATGAACTTGTCCTCTAACACAGGAGAAGACTATCATGTCCTTGCACACACCAGAGCAGTCCCTTGAACACATCAGAACTGAGCGCTCAAGCTACACTCAGAGAACAAGGGGTGATGGCTTTAAGCTGAAAGAGGGGAGGTTTAGATTAGATATTAGGAAGAAATTCTTTGCTGTGAGGGCGGTCAGATACTGGAACAGGTTGCCCAGAGAAGTTGTGGATGCTCCTACCTGGAAGTGTTTAAGGCCAGGTTAGATGAGGCTTTGAGCAACCTGGTCTAGTGGAAGGTGTCCCTGCTGACAGCAGGGGGGTTGGAACTAGATGATCTTTAAGGTCCCTCCAACCCAGACCATTCTGTGATTTTATGATTGTAACATGTGCTCTGTTCTGCTTACCATTTGTGGTTTCTGCAGGGAGAGCTATGTCTCCGAGCTCCTCCAATATCTTTTTCCGCACTTCATTTCTTCTGTGTTTCTTACCATCATAATGCTGCTGAGCCGTGAGGGGATTGTCAAAGGGGGCACAACAGAGCTTGCAGTACTTGTCTGCATTGTTTAACTTCCACCTTGTGTTGGAGGATGACAAAGACTCTCCAGCTTCTGAAGGCAGCAAAGGCTTCCCAGCCAACGCCTTCTGTAAAGCTGGAGACAGGGAAATAGAGGATAAATGTGCTGACAGCACAGCAAAGGAAAGGCTAGAACAATTCCATGGGGTAAAACAAGTGACTGCAGAAATACAGGGACAGAAAGGAGAACAGTGTGCTAAGTGCTGAACAACTTGCAAGAGACTATAAAATATCTTAATCCTTGCAAAGATAGGAAAATATAGACTGATAAGGACAATAACCCTGGAATATTCAGAAACCTCACCATTAGCTACCTAAAAATCAGCTGTGTTCGATGGCTGGTCACTCTAAGGCCCTTATACAGTCCAGGAAGAGAGATTTACCTTGCTGAGGGTGGTTCAGAGCACATAACACGATGCTCTGTCTTTAAATACAGTTCAGCAACTTCTACAGGAATAACACCAGTTAAGCGTTGCTTGTGGACTGTTTTTTTATTTCTTATCATATTAACTTATCAGAGCAACATCTTGTTGGGACTGCCCTGAATTCTCAGAACAACAATAAATTAATAAAAA